CCGCCTTACGCTGTGGCCTGGTGACCGTGTCCGTGAGCGCCTCTTCCAATGAGCTCTTCTTGGACTTGAGGCGATGGAGTTCATCTATCTTCAGCAATCCGAAGGTCTTCGAGAACCACTTGAGGGTGTTCCACACCTGCCGCAACTTGCACGGGGTGACCTCCTCATCGGCGAGCTGGTTGAGGAGAGAGCGGACATGTCGTTCCTGCCATGGAGTCACGGTGAAGCCTCTCTTGCGGAGACTCTCGTAGACCAGGCAATGTTGTCTGAGCGTCCGGAACCTGCTGTCCCCCAAGAGGTCCAATGCCTCCTTGCGGAAGTCCTCCCCCAGGATGTCCTGCATGTATGCAATGTGCTCCGCAAAGGGGGCGAAGTGGGCAAGGAGCCGTTCCGCCCATTTTCCGGAGTTCCAGCGCTCGCTGGGTCGTGGGCTCCATTTCCCTGATCTTCCCGGGCCGCCAGTGCCTCCACTTCAGAAGCTCCGGCTGTTGGAGTGGGGGTGGGTCATCTCGCGAGAACCACCTCAGTTGGTCCTGGCGGTCCCATTCATTCTCCAGCGGGGAAAAGTTCTCGCTCGGCTTGCCATCCGCAGCCGCCATGAGGAGGAACCATAGGCTATCCCAAAGGTCGGCCAGGTCCGCCGCGGACAGAGGCTGGAAGCCTGCCCGCCGCCGACGCCACCAGGCCGTTGAAGTAGTCAGTCGGTATTACTTGGTCGTCTTGGCCTACCGGAATGCCCGAGAGTTCCAGGAGCTGGGCGAAGCGGATGGCCGGCTCCCCGCCCAGCTGCCTCCCCTCCTCCGCCGTGCCATGGCGCAGGCACATCAGGACCAGCAGCTCCCCGTCCGTCTGTCTCGGGGAGAAGGACTCATCCGCCAACGTGTCCCACAGGACCCTTGGAATGCGGTCCCAAAGACGAGTGTAAGGCGGGCGCAAAAGAAACTTTGTAGAGACCCTAGCCATGATGAAAACGGGGGTTTGAGCCTCCTATCGAACGGCCGGGACCCAACCGCGGCATACTGCATGCATGTTCCAACCCCGCAGGATGCCGAGTGCAAAAGGGGCAGGCAGGCCACCTGCAGCCCAACAGGACCCAAAAGTCAACCCCCGGAAATCCCCAAAAACCACGGAGGGGGGAAGACCAACCCGACGGGGGATTCCCCAAAACCCCCAAGGGGACCTCAGGGAACCCAGAGTCAGCCGCAGCCACTTTCTCCAAACTGTGGCCGATATGGCCCGTCCTTGGGGCCGCCAAAGCGTGCAGCCTCCAGATCGAGGCAAACCGGCAGTCGTGACGTGTTGCACAGGGGGGAAACCATGGTGAAAGATGAACCCAAAAGGAGACACCCTCACTCCTCCCCCCACCCGAGACGGGGCCAGAGGCACCCAAGTCCCGGTGGGAAGAGATCTCACGACTCCACATCCAAAAGGGTTGTGAGACACGACCTAGCGGCTCTCACCCTTCAAGATCGCCTCCTTTGCCACCGAGTGGATGGCCGCCAGCCCTGACTTCTCCGGGTTGCTCAAAATGACCGACCACAAGGCAGTGGAGACATCCCCCAGGCCATTCGAGGAGCTGAAGCGCATGCGCGGGGTGCTCGCGTCGCCCAGGACTAGCCGCTCGTCCCTGGGAGGCTCCGTCGGCTCCACCCTCTTGTAGAACTCCATCCTGTCCCGGATCCACTGATTATATAGCTGCTCCGGGGGCTCGTCCATCACCAGCTGCAAGCATGTGGCCTTGTCTTTGTGCCACCCCGTGATCTGGAGCAGCCTGGTCCCCCCGCGGCTCGCCCTCCAGAAGCAAAACCTGCACATGTAGCCCCCGGTGGTCTTGAACTTCTCCTTGCCCACCACTTCCCAGGCGCTGATGCTGGGCAAGACCAAGCCGCACTCCACGGAGGCCCAAAACACGTGCTTCGTCTCCTTGGGGAAGTGCTTGTTGATGTACTTCCGGCCCGCGACCGCCGTGACCGTGGACGTGGTGATGGGCGGGTACCGCCTGGTGCCCTGGTCCGGTGTGCGGAGCGTGGTGTCCGCCCCCCCCAGAACCTTGGCCTTGGGGTCCGATTCCTTGGCCGCTCCTCCCCCGGGGCCAGAGGCACCCAAGGGGGGGGAGCAACCCAGCTGCCGGATGAGGTCCTGGGAGTAGCCCAACCTGTCGTACAGGGCCCCCGCCGCCTCCTGCGGGACCTGCTCAACCCAGTCGTGGACCACGTTGCAACGCCAGTTTACCTTCACCTCCACCATGGAGGACTTGCTCAGGCCCGACACCAACTTGGTGCATACCGAGTCGAAAGCCCTCAGCGATGACAGCGGAAGGGTGATTCGCTCGTCACAGACCGCCCTGAAACGCAACGCCTCCTTGCTGTCGTGGACGGGGGCCACTGGGATCTCCATCACCGGCAACGGGCAGTTAACGATGAAATTCTTGGCCGCCAGAAACGTCCCCATCTCCTTGAAGATGTAGCTCCATTCCGCCTTGCTGCGCGGCTTGGGGATTCCCAGGCTCTCCAGGAAGGGCACCGCCTCCTTCCTCATCTGGAGGATGTTGCCCATCCACTTGTCCGAGGTCGAGCCCTCCGCATTGCGGCCCCGGCGCTGCGTCTTCACGATCAGCGGGAAAGTGGTCCAGGCCGAGTAGATGTACTTGAAAGTGAACGTACACCCCCGTCAGGCTCGGCAGGTCCCACGTTCTCGTCTGCCTGGTCCAAAACACTCCATCACCTTTCGCCCAGAAGATCCCCACCACCTGCTCCGGCGCCGGGCGCTCGCCCCGGTTCACCTGCGCTCAGATCTCCAACCGTGTAGATGACTGGGTCGATGTGGTCCTGCTCACACGTGAGTGGGTGAGTCCTGCGCTCCAGGGCCAGGAGCTCCTCCGGCGTCCCGAGGACATCCCCAACGTGGGAGACATCAAGGAGAAGTATGTCCCTTACATCAGGAGGCTCAGAGAGTCGCAGAACCCATGGCACCAGGAGGCGCTGCTGGAGGAGATGCCCGATCTGGCGTTTTCAAGGGTGCCACTGGCCCTGGGGGGGACCAGCCAATGGCAGGAGCTACGGATGTTTGGGGGGATCTGGAAGAAGCACTCAAGCGGTGAGATCCCCAAGGGCGCGGCAGGGGGCAGAATAGCCCCCTCTCCAGTGCCTGCCTGAGATCATCTGGCCACGCCGACACTTCCAAGGGCTTGAGAGTGTGGTTAAGCATCCATGCCTGGTTGGTGTCCTGGGTGCGCTTGTTCGCCTCCTGAGCCTCCTGAATGGAGCCCATTGCCCTCCAGGTACTGGTCTCGCAGCTTGGCCTTGAATCGTTCCAGTCCAGGTTGACTTTGCTGAGGGCACGGGCTCCCTCATTGGCCACCTCCTCTGACGGCAGGGCCTGCATGCCCTCCTGGAGAGGCGCCAGGATAGCCATCTCATTGTCCAGCATCTCCTCCGTGACCAACTCCTTGTGCCGCCGCCTGGCCGAGGACTCCTCCGGGGTCGGTTCCCGGTGCTGCCTGAAGGCCTTATGCAGCTCCTCCTTCTTCCGGATCGCCTGGTCCACCTGGGGGTGGTAGAGCTGGAAGCTCTGAGCCTCCGCCTCCTTCAGGGACCGCTGCACTTTGACCTTGATCTCCTGGCATTCCCGGACCTTCAACGCCTCGTCGTCCGCCTCCATGGACAGGATCTCCTGCCGGATGTCCACCCGCCTGTTAAGCGGGACCACGTCTGCCATGGTGATCTCCTCTGCCGTGTCCGTTTTCGGAGGAGCTCTCCCCAGGACCGTGCCGTCCACCAGGTTGCGGTCTGCCTGTGCCCGGGTACCACCGGGGCCAGCGGCACCCAGGCTTCCCCCTTTTCGCTGCTGGATCCAGGTCGGCTTGCCCTCCACAATGAGCAGGTTGTAAGTGACGCCGTCCGCCTCATACGTAGCCGAGGGTGCCTGGAAGGGGACGAACTCCTTGCCTGGGCATACCCAGCATTGCTTGGCTGCCTCCGGCCACCCCGTGCCGCATGCCTTGCACATGAACTTGTAATCTGAGTGGCCTGCATCGAGTCTGTGCATCCGCTGGGTGCCAATGCACGCCTTGTTCCTCTGGAACTGTGAGGCCCAGACCTCCTCCTGCCGGATCTGGATCTTCATCGGAACATAGGCCTCCAGGATGCGAATCACCAAGTCCTCCGTGAGATTCTTCCCGACAAACTTGTGGAACAGGGAGACCGCCTCCTCCACCGTGACGTCCCTCAGCAACGTGGCCGCCGATGCCGGAAGGACCGGGAAAAGGTCTGGGAGGTCCACTAACTTGAAGTAGCCGGGACGGCCCTCCACCGGCACCAGGGAGACCGGTTTGTTCACATGAGCCGTGGTCTTCTGGGAAGCCGCCACGAAACCCTTCAGCCTCTTCGTGGGTGGAGTAGCCCGCTCCGTGGCGTCCGCATCTTCCATGTCCTTGTCCTCCTCCTCGGCGGGGCCAGGGGCACCCAAGCCGGAAGTCGGTGTGGCAAACGCCACACGGAGACGCTCCAGTGCACTGGAGAGGTCGTTCATCACGTCGGTAGCCGAAGCCGATGGGGGGGCCTCGGGCTCGTCCAACACCAGGCCGGCCGCCACTGCCGCCTCGCGTGTGCGAATTTCCTGGGCCTCCTGGCTGGCCATTTCCACCTCCTCCGCGGTGAGCGTCTGGTCCTCAATCAGCTCGAAGGAGGTTGCCGAGGTTGCCGAGGAAGCCATTGCTTGATCGGGGTTAGTTCGGGGGTGTTCAAACTCAAATCTTTTTCACACAAATTGGGTTCAAAGAACCCAGGGCAAAGCTTGAGCCAAAATGGCATGCGCCATTATGGTCAAGCATTGCAAACACAGTTCATGTTTCCACATGCGTTTCAACATTAACAAAAAATGCGAGAAACACATGGAGCACATGGCTGGATTGGCGCCAAGTCTGCAAAGAACAAGCATCTAATTGCTACAACTCCACACGCACATATGATATGTATGGTATGTATGCCCAGCCGAGCAGCGCCCGGCTTTGGCGCGCGTGAGATGGCACGTGAAGCTTGTGGCCGGCCGTGCACCCAAGTGACTTTTTTCTGAGAATGTGCCTGGGTCTGGGGGATTTGCTTTGGTGTTAAACAGGGAATCAGAAACAAACATGGTTGTACGAACGTAAATGCGACACACATTTTTCCTGTGCTTTGCTGGTCAACTGAACATTTTGTGTTACTCAGCACCCGGAATGTTAAAATCAATAACTAGCCTTGAGGAAGGTTGCTCTGAAACAGGATGCATTCATATACTCAAATATCACGAAGCTAATAATTGTTCGATAAACAAACACCGACGAAAACATGAATCACGGACAAAAGCACCAGTTTCCCCAAAAAAGTATGGCACCATTCTGTGGGCCGGCGCCGCATCTCCTCCCCGAGCTAATCTGAAGCTTGAGATGATCGAGGCCCGGCAGGCTCTACTGATTGTGGTGGAATACATTCTGGATGCAAAGGCGCATTCTACCAAGAGCTTCATATTATGAGCCCTGGTCACTCCCATGCGCGTCATGGTCACAGTTGCCTTATCAGGAATCTTTACTTGTCATGGTGGTCAAAATTCCCGCTTCAGGGCGCAACAGTATCCCTACCTCAAGTAAAGAAGGCGTCAAAATTTTAGCCTGAGGGTGTCTCAACATAAGGGGACCCCCAAACTGGTTGGTTCTCCTTTTGGTTTCCGTCCAATTAAAACCGATCAAAAATGGTTGCCCAACAAAACACATCCATATGGACAGCGGGTCCACACTACATATCTAGGTCGGAGCCCTCGCCCGTCAAGTGGGAATCTGCTCGCTTCCGAAGGAATGGATTGGCCAGTCTGAAGTCTTGGGGAGACCAACATGATCTTCTCAAAATGTGAAAACAAGAAAACAAGTCCCAAAAACTTCAGGGGGCTCCCATCATTCACAGCAAAACAAGCTCCTGTTCATTGGATTCCCTTGCCTGAAACAACAAACCGACGAATCTCCTGGGTTCCGGACATGTGTAACGTTTGGGGGGGGGGGGGCGGCATCCAGGGGTGCCCATGTGAGCGGAGTATCCTTCCTAAAAATCGGAAGTCCCTCCCAGTTCCCTGGGCAAGTTACAAAACATGAAGCACCTAGAGGATGCCTCTTGGGCAAGTCATGACTCACCGGATCGGTGAGCTCGTTTTGGTTTACCGTAAGTCAAAAACACACAGTAACCAGTTGTTCAGTGGCACCCTTTTTTGTTTGGTACCCCACGAAACGTGGTTCAGCCAATAAGGGTTCGTTTTTCAACCAGGACCGCTGAAGAACTGGGATAAAACGCACCTCTGACCGGTCAACTCGGCAAGCCCCTGCCAGAGGGTCCCCTTTCGTGTGCGGGCCAAGGCCCGGGCCTGTGTCCGGTCCCAAACAATAAAATAGAAAAGCTTGGCAACTCAGGGGGGCGCACCCGGAAGAACTGGTTCTTGGTAATGTGCCCACAGTTGCTTCGATCCATGTCCTGGCGGCAATGGCCATTCTCACGGCGACCGGCGACTGGAGGCATGATGCTTCTCATGGCAAGTGGAAAGGCACGGCGGATCCAACTACAAAACACCGGTGCACCAGGGAGAAAGTAGTTGGCACTGTTTCCTTTCAGTGGCCAAGCCAAGGGGATGACTAAACCAAAATGAGTTGTGCCAGCTACTTTTGCCTTGTGCCGTACTTGCAGAAATTTAGGACATTCGCCGAATGAACCTGTCTTGGATGGGCATATCTCTTCCATTCTTGCAAGGAGGGGCAGGACATTCCCCCTCGACATCCTCCAAAGTTAATCAACCTGCCTGGTTGGGAAACGAAAAATACCTCACACCTCCAGTTGGGGAAACAGGTCACCTGTCACCTGCTGCGAATCGATTTGTTTTTGGGGTAATGCCCTCCAAACGGAAAGGAAAAAACGTCAACCGCGGAGGTTCAGCTACCCATCACAGCTCTGCCAATCGCGCCGCAGCCAAACCTCCAGTGGATTCAGCTACCAGTACAGTTGCTGGATCCCTGCTCCTATGAAGACATGCACTCTATTCATGCAAACAATATTACTTTTCCCAGCCCAAAGCTCTCAATACCAAATTAGAATCAGTCAATACTAAACCAATTTGAACAAGAAAAATCCACCCCAACCCCCACTCCACCCTTACTAGGGGACATTTGGAAAACCTATACCAAATCAAAACTAAGCAAATGTTCCACCACGAAAGGGACCATGGCGTAACCCCCCGGACAGAAACTTACCCTACTAGTAAATATTGTTTTTCGGACCCCAGGTGAAAAACATACATTAGAGGGGCCGGATTCATTGTTATGGGGAAAAAGTCAATGATGATCCACCTGTTGGACACACCCTACAATATGATTTCAAAGGGAACCACTATAGAAAACCAGTGTTTGGGAAAGCCATCATTCCACTACTGGTTGGCAACCACGTGTCTTACGACTCTAGGCAGTTGATGATGGCCTTCAACGGGGAACTGGAATAACTGGGCCCACAATGACTTGCAACCCAGGAACTGGGATACAAAACTGGGAAAGACGAATCCGCCCTACAAAAAGTGGCAACTGTTGGCTTGTTGAAAGGGACAACGATGAAGTGGGAAGCTATCTGATGCAAAGATCAGCTGTCAACTAAGCAAATCGAGGTTGCCACTAAGATGGACCTGGGGCAGAAAACCAACAGGTCAAATCTGGTCGATTCGATTTGAAGCCCCAGATTGAAGGGGAATCCCCTTGAGTGACATCCACAGAAACAACACTCGACAAGGTCCTGATTGAATGTGATTCTCCAAAGTTAGACTCAGATGGTGCATATAAAGCCCAAAAGGGCCCATTCGAGTAATTTCAAAGCCTGAACTAGCACCCCGAAGAGAAAGCTTTCACCACAGGGGTGAGCTCGTTTTACGAAGCTGATCATTGCCTTCGGGGTCCTCCTAAAAAGTGCCACTGGGCGGGATTCACAATAGAGGACCCCCCCAAACAAGGGTTTCGGCTTCCCTTTCGGCTTCCCTTACCCCAAAACGGAATTCCCCACTTCCCCGGGCCCTGGATCACGGGATCACGGCCCTTGGGCCCGGCTCCTTGAACGAAGGGAGCAGGTTGACGCGATGCTTCTGAGCACGGCGATGCAGAAAGCTACCGGACACCCAAAAACTCACTGCCGGTTGGGTTCCCCTTGTTGGAGCCACGCTCCCAGCTGCCGAAAAAGCAGTGTAACGTGCCGCTATGCCCGTCTTGCGTGAACACAGCAAACTGACCAGTTCAAAAAAAGGTCCACAAATGTCCGAGCATTTGCTGCTTGCCCGACATACCAAATGCCGAGCAATGAAACAAATGGCACAACGAAATAACAACTAACACTTGCACACAAAGCGACAAATAACAAACAATCCTAACAAAACAAATTGAACAAACACAACCATAAACAAACAGCAAACTGTGCCCAAATAGTGACAAAGCAGTGAAAAGTGACGCAAGGCGCATAAAGTGCAGCGGAGCGGCCGTCACTTTGGACCTGATCTTGCTCTCCAGCCACTCCCACTGCTGCAGCCTGACGGAAAGAAAGGGTCTTCCATTCCAGGGTTTGAGCAACACATATGGGTTTGTCTCAAAACAGGGGAACCCTGAAAATGGATGGTTTCCTTCTTCTGGTTCCCCGTTAAAGACATCCAACAAGGGTAAACCAACATGATCGCTGGTACCAGCTGAGCAGTGGTCTAAGCCCAGTTGCGGCCGAAGAGAAATATCATATCCCTTCCGCGAAGGCTTCCTCGGAGCTTTCGCGGCATGAAAGGTTCCTTCCGCGAGAGGTTTTGAAGATGGAATCGCTTCCGCGTCGCTGATTGAGAAATGGGCTTGAAGTTTGTTTTGGCTTCCGCGCGTGCAGGAAGACTACAATTTTCTTCTCTTCGCGGCCCTTCCGCGAAGCTTGGGCGAGTACATAAATGATAAACCCGTTCCGCAAACCTTGCGAGGCGCTTCCGCGACCGAGGAAACAGTTGCTGAAACGATATTTTTCCTTCCGAATACCACGTCGCAACACGTACCTCCCTGAAATATATGTGTCGGGGTTCAAGCCATCCCCAACAATGAGAATCCAGGATTCAACACCCTTGAGTGGGTGGCCCGGGGATCCCTCGCTTTTTGGGAGGCACATATCCCTGTCGCACATCAATCCAGGGTCCACCACGTGGCCCCCTCCTTTGGAAAATGGAGGGACCCCCCAAAAGTTTAGAAACCCTCTTTAAGCAAGTCCCCTCCTTGTCATCCTTATTTCCCCCAAAACATTGTTTTCTGGCTGAAAGAAAGAATGAAGGAAACCCAAAAAGGCAAGAGTTAAACAGGTCAGCTAAGTCTGACAATTTATGAGAAAGAAGGTCAAAAGCGCAACATTGGACTTGGGCGGCTCGAATCGCCCGTCCAGGCCTCTCATGGGAAAGGCACACCTTGTTGCGCCTGGCCACGGCGACGCGCACGGCGTCGAATGCAACGAGGGCGAAGCGCGTGGCTTTGGGGTTGTCAATGGAAACCCTACTGGGGAAGAACCACCAAAGCTCACGCAAACAGTTTGCGTTAGGGACCATTCCCCAACAAAGTAGTACTACAGATAGGTTTCCCAACAGGGCATATGGCGCCAAACTCATCCATCCTTGAACGCCCTGACAAAGATCCACTGGAATCCCCATAAAACCGAAACAGTAGGGCCACCTCGCGAATCCCTCAAACATGTAAGCTCAAAATTGATGGATGCCCTCAGTCTTCCAAAGGTTCAATAATTTCAAATTTGAGTTTGGTGGGTTTGGAGTAAGTTCACCCCCCTCGTCTTTTGAAGTCGTTGGCGCTTCTTTGGCTTTTCCACAGGAAACAAATGGCGGGCCCTGGCCAAAACGAGACCTGGCAACATAACGAACATATACGTCGTGTAGCATCAGAAGCTGAGGCACGGCTCCAGGGTTTGTAGGTTTGCATGTCTGTGCCAGGCCTGCAATGGAACAATCCACGAATGCGCAGCCGAAAAAGCATAAGTTCGATGCTGTTGGAAACTT